GCTGGGGAGAGGCAGGGGACTCAGGGGCCAGGGACGGGTAAGGCACAGCCAGGCCACTGGGCCCAGGAAGTTCCTCCAGTCATCTAACTTGATTCCTTACAATGCAGTCCAAGAAGAGAAGGTTTCTCTCCTCTCCATCCCTCCTGGAGCCAGCCAGGTCCAGGCCTAGGGCCCTCTGGCCTGGCGACCACTCTGCCTCACCCACCCCAGCTGATCTCCCTGGCCTGGCCCTGCCCCTCCTCCTCTCCAGCCCCCATGCTGAGCAGAGGGACTCCCTGCTCCAGAGGTCCAGGCTGCGCAGAGTCCTCCCGAGGCTCAGCTCTGTCACGGCACCACTGCCTCTCCAGACACTTCTCATGGCTGCCTGCTGCCCAAGGAATTCACTACAGGACTCGTCACTAGCAGTCAGGGACCCCGGCAACATGCCAACCCACCCCAGCAACCTGACCCCCACTGCTGTCCACCCACCCGAGGCCCCGGCCACACCGGACCCCTGATGTTCTCCAGAGAGGCCCTGCAGTTTCTGCCTCCTGGCTTTTTGGGGCTGTCCACAGCCTGGAGCACCCTCCCCTCCACTCCCCTGTCTGTCCTTCAAGCACCAGCTCCACTGTGGCCCCCTCAAGAGGTCTTCACTGGTTCCTTCCTCCGTCGGGGGTGGGGAGTCCCCTTCTCTGGAGCCCAGACCACTGTGCTCTCTCTGAAGCCTGTCCATCTCCCCTGTCCTGCAGCTTTTGTGGAGCGGGTCTCTGCCACCCCCCACCTCCAGCTTCCTGACTCTCCCGGCACCACTCTCGCCCCCCCGCACTGCTCGCAGAAGATGGGGCCATGATTTCACCCGGTCTGGTCTGACACTCCAGCCCTCTCCAACCGCTTCATGAAGCTCCAACTCTTGGGACACTGGTGTCACTGTCCCTATTTTACTTAAAAAAGACACTGAGGCTACAACACGCTAACTGAATGCCCAAGCGGCAGAGTGGGAATTAGACCTCAACGAAGCCCACCCTCCAAAGAACTGAAGACGGGGCCTAAGTGGGTGTGGAGGTGGGGTCCCCTGGGCATGAGCCAGGATGGGTGGGCAGCGCCAAGGACACTTTCAACTTAGTCCTTGTAACTCTACCGTGGGGTCCTCAGGCCTGGGGGGGCAGCTAGGACCCCAGAGCACCTCCAACACAACCCAGAAGGCGAGCAATGCCCCGCCGCGCGGGCCCCCAGCAAACACTCCAGGCCGCGCATGCGCAAACCCAGCGGCCGCCACACCCCGCCGCCCGCACCCACGCACCCTCCTCCCGCCCGGACTCCTGGCCTCCTCCACCCACACCCAGACCAGCCCGACAGGCTGGGCCGGGCTGGGCCGGCCTGGGCCGGGAGAGACGCCAGAGGCTCCCCGCCCCAGCGTGGAGCAGGGGCAGGGATTCCGTGGGGCGGGAGCGCCCCCAGCTGACCAGTGTGGGACAGGCAGGGCTCGGGCACCCAATCCAGGCCCCAGGACCCCTGCCCACCCTCCGTTTGTTGACCTTCTTGAGCCCCAGGGCCGAGTCGGAGGGGTGAGCCAGGGGCAGAGAGGAAAGGGCAGGCCTGGGACCGCATGAGCACAAGCATGCAGGGGGAGAGCAGAGCAGAGGCAGATGCGGTGGCTGGAGCGTGGGTTTCCGCCTCCGACTTGGTGATGGATTCGGTGGGGGCGGAAAAGAATCAAATGCATCTCCCGGATTTCCTGCACCGGCGCGTGGTGAAACCAAGACTGGCGCCACCGGTGAGGACAGGTCTGGGAAGGTGCCTGAAGGACTCGTCTGGGACGTGTTGGCCTTGAGGGACCTAAGGGACATCGGTGGAGACCAGCAGGAGGTGGACGCTCGCGTCTGAAGCTCTGGAGAGTCCGTGGCCGTAGCAGGGAAGCAAGGACATCCGTTACAGCCTGTTCCCCTCTCTGGCTTCAGACCCCGACCGGGGGCAAGTCTCGACTCAGAATGGGCCTGGTGTGGACAAGCTGCTCCTGAGGTCCCTTCCTGCCCTTGCACTTGTCGTTCCCGCCCAGCCCCTCTCCGCCTGGTCCTCAGTCCCTCAGCGCCCTCCTGAGAACACACAGGTCATGTGAACTCCCGTTTATCCAGTGCGTACTAAGCGGTAGGCACTGTGCTCCGGTGGCCTCACCAGGCTGTGGGGGAAATATCCCATCAGTGCCCAAATCAGAGGGGCTCCAGGGCCCCACCTCTGAGACGGGGCCTCATGCTGTCCCGAGAATGCCCCCAGTTACTTCCAGGGGACCCAGGGATGCTGTCTTGCACGTGGGAAGGAGCGTGTGAAGGCCCCTCCCCCTCCCCGGCCGCCAGTGTCCTCCTTGAGAACTCTGCTCTGGAGAGCACCCGGTCCTCCGCCCGTGGCCAGCCGGGTCCTCAGACCTCACAGCCCTACAAGGGCTGTGGGAGGGGGCTGAGGAGGAGGAGGAAAGGAGGCCAGGCTTCCCCCTCTGAGCACCAAGCTCCCCAGGCCCTGAGGCCCCACTGTTCAGGCCCAGAATCTCAGATGCCTTCAAAACCGAGGCTCCTTCATCCTCTGGGGCCAATCCCTGTGCCTCTCTCTCTAAAGGGGCTCCACGGCTGCTGGGACCGACACTAAGTCTGCTCCCCCCACTGTCTCCCTCCCTCATCTCTCCCCGGACATATCATGCACAGACCTCCATCCTCTTCCCCCAGCACCAAATACAGCCTATATTGTTACTGTACCTTATACTTTACCATATACTCTATGCTATATACTATACCTTATATTATTCCTATAATAAGGGAGACTGAGGAGGAGACAGAGGGTCAGGGAGGTTAAGTAACCTGCCCAGGGTCACACAGATAGGTGGGAACAGGGGCACGTCCAACCCCCAGGACTCAGGGTAATGTACTCAGTACAAGGTCCTCTGTGAGCTGGCTCCTGCCTGGTGTGCTACCAAGCAGCAGCAAGGCCTGGGGGTGGCCACACTCTCTCACCCCTGCGCTTGGGCTTGTTGTTCCCATGGGCTGCTGGTGCCCCCCCCCCCCAGCTTTCTCCCACCTTCCTTTGCAGAGCGAGCTCCCAGGTGCCTCCTAGGTGAAGCCTGCCCCTCCCAGCTCTGGCCGGGGGCCGTGCTCCTTCTTTGTGCTGACCCGTAGCTGACACTTCTCATCTTTCCTTCATCTCATCAGCACTGAGCACCTGCTACATTCTAGATGCTGCGATACCACAGGGGCTCACACTCCGGTGGGGCAGAAGGACGGTAAACAAATACATGTGGCATTGTCGGGGCCTCTTCACTGCGTGAAACCCATGCCGCCGCCCGGGGCCCCGCCCTCAGAAGGGCCCCCCACTTGGGTTAGTGCTCTGCTGGCCCTGTCTGGGAATTCTCGATAATTTCTGAACAAGGGGCCCACGTGTTCGTTTTGCATCGTGCCCGCAGATGATGTAGCCAGTCCCTAACATAGTGTGGTAGACGGTAGTTGCTGTAGAGAAAAATAACAGGAAAGGGGATGGGAGTGACAAGGAGGAGGGATTATAAATTTAAACAGAGAGGTCGGGGAAGCTTCGTCAGACGTTTCGTGAAGATGTGAAAGAGGGCAGGGAGCCAGCGGCACTGTCTGGCTGAGGAAAGGGCGAGGACAGAGGCCCTGGGGTGGGAGCGTGGCTGGTGTGTGCCAGGAAAGCAGGGGGCCAGCGTGGCCAGAGGGGAGTGATGGAGAGAGCACGGGCAGGAGTGAGGCCCCAGAGGCCCCATGGCCGAGTCATGTGTGGCCCTAGGCCTGGTCAGGACTTGGCTTTACTGTGAAAGAGACAGGAAGATGCTAGAGGCGCATGACCTCTAGCTGCTGTGATCTGACTCGAGTATTTACCAGGACCGTCCTGCGGGGACGAGGGCCGAACAGGGAGACCAGCTCTGACACTTCACTGGAATCCCCGTTATTCTTCTGTCTCCCCAGTAGACAGGGTGGACTGGGGGTGGGAGGGGAGTGGAGGCATCAGGGCGTCTGGTTTGGGCACCCAGGTGGGTGAAGGAGCCATTCCACAAGCCAGGACAGGGACCATCAGAAGAGGGCAGTGTGGACAGGGTAGATGGGGAGATGGGGGGTCCACAGGCTGCAGCCTTCACCTCAGAAGCTGACCGCAGGCCTGGCCAGGGTCAAGGGTCCACCCCCCGACATCCACCCCCTGCCCCACACTCAAGCGCATCCGTTCCTAGATGTTGACCGGGAGATGGAGGCTGAGAACCGCCTCACCTTCTCCCCCTCTCCTCCCAGGCCCCTCCTGCCCTTGAAGAGGGAACCTCCTCCTCCTCTTCCCTCAGTTCTTCCCCTCCCTCCCTGTCTCTCGCAACCTCAGGAAGATGATGGCTCCAGCTACTTCACTTAGAAATACAACCACCAGACAGGGCCGCCCAGTCCAGCCTTGGACCAGGTCCCCTCTGCAGCATCCTGGGGAGCAGATGCGCTCTGTTTGCACGCCTCCAGTGCCCAGGAGCTCACTCCCTCGCCAGGAAGCCCATTCCCTGCTTGCATAGCTCAGACTGTCAATCAGCCCCATCCACCTCCCTGTAAGTCCTCACCTGGTCTTCTCTGAAGCCACATAGAGCATGGTGGCTCCCTCCTCTGTGTGATGGGGGCAGGCAGAGAGAGAAATAGCTTCCTAAGCACCTGTTCTGTGCCAGGCACTGGGGATGCAGAGGTGAGCGGCAAGCTGTGGTCCCTGCCCTCAGGGGACGTGACAGGTCCCTGCAATACCAGTTGAAAAGGAAAAGAATAGCAAATATCATTGACACTCACTCTGTGCCAGACACTGTTCCAAGCACTTTATGTGAAGTAAATCATTTAATTATCCCCAAAGCCCTCCAAGTTGGGCTCTGTTACTGTCTTCACCTGCGCTATCAGCCCCAAGTCCTGCAGATGCTCTGATGGACCAGAATTCGACCTCCGGAACCTGTGCTCGGAGGAGCAGGCAGCTGGAATTCTGCCTGTTTTGAGTGTTGGCCGGAGTTTCATTCCTCAATTTAAAGCGTTTCTCTCTTCCATTATCTCGGAAATACAAAACGCCTCTTCTGGGAACGCTCTCAGCAGCTGGGAAGGGGCACGGTCCGGTGGTGCCATCTAGGGGCAGACACGAGCATTGCAGAGGTTTAAGTGCAGTGGATGGGCGCATCTTGCAGGGGCCTAAAGGGACTAAGTGCAGAAAAAGATCCTGTTAGAATGTCAAGCACCAGCCGCCTCCCCCGCCGCGCGTGTGCCGTGCAGGACTGGAAAGACTACTGCACACCCGATCTGCTAATCATTAGGAAAACGCACATCAAAACCACAAGGAGATACCACTTCACACTCATTAGTTTGCTGATTTGTTACAGCAGCTCTAGGAAACTGATATACACGGTATCTCCAGGTGAATGTTATTTTCAAAACTTACCACTTTCATTTTTCTTACAACACTCTGAGGAGAGGGTAGGAGACAGGTTACCTGGCTAAATAAGAATATCATGTTCCTCAGGCACTGATTCCGTTTCTGCTCTAGAGACTTCTGCTTCTTGGTCCAGAGCCGCATCGCCTTTGTCTGGTAGTCATCAGTTCTGCTCAGCATTATGTAGAGGTTCTGGCTCTCATAGCCTTTCCCAGTGTTTTGGATGGCTTGTAATCGTTTGATGATGTTTCTCGAAAAAATTAACAAGAATTGGATTGATATAATTACTGACCCTAACTCAGCAAAACTGGCTTCATTTTCTTTCAATTCTCATCTTATCCTTAGTAAGTAGAGAGGGATGGGATAGGGGTGCAAGGTGTGCTTAATGAGATCTTAATCTACATAGTTCCCTATACGACTAAACTTTAAAAAATCTATATGGCTGTCAAATTTTCATTAACTCTTCACAGAGTGTTTTAGTGTTATAATAGTGTTGCTTATTATTATCTTAATATATTAAAATTTTAATATTGATATATACAAGACATATAGAAGGTACTTAATACAATTATGAAAAAGACAATTTCGTTGCCTTCAAAGCACTTACAATCCAGAATAGGAGGAGACTAATAAATTAACAGTGTCAAAGAGAGAATGAAATAGATGCTAACTAGAGATATAGACATGCTGTTTAAGCAAAAAGGAAAGCATAATTAATTCTAACAAGAGGGATAAAGAAGGCTTCATAATAAGATGTTGGATAGGATCTTGAGGAACAGTCATAACAATGTACGCTCCCTCTTTACTGTAATGTATACCACCACCATGTCTGGGCCTTCTAAACAGGTAGTGTGTTGCCATTCTACAGGAGAGGAAAAGGAATCTGAGCAAAGTTAAGGAATTTTCCTAAGTCGCATAATTAATAAATAGCAGATTTGGGAAGCAAACCCAGCTCTTCTTTCTTTCCACAATATGAATACTTCTCAAAACGTGGACCCTGACCCCCGGCACTGAATCATTTGGCAGGGGGTGGAGGATGGGGGGAGTGCTTGTTGAAAATGCAGATTCTAGGGTGCTTCCCAGAGCTTTTGCGTCAAAATCTTGGTGGTAGGCTTCAGGATCTGTATTTTAAACAAAATCTCAGGTAAATCTTACTGTCACTAAAGTTTGGGAACAAAGACATGAGGAATTCCAGGTTGAGGGAATACTATAAACAAAGGCCAGAAAATGAAAGTTATATTTTGAGAGTGGTGAGTAGTCTGGGACTTTTAGACCAGGGATACGTGAAAGGATGTGGGGATGAGACTGGAGTGGCTGGATTATGAAAAGCCTTAAAAGGCATGTTAAGGAGTTTGGATGTTTTTGGGGGGCTAGGCAATGGGAACCCATAGAAGATATTTTTCTGAATATACGTATTTTACATATATATATATATAAATAAATAAATAAAGAGAGGGAGAGGGAATACTCTCTTTTGTGGGTTATAATTAATAGCTTAGACCTACTGTATATATGAATCATTTAATACTTAAATGTATCAACTTTCTGAATTAATATAATTAGTTGATTTTAATTAAATTAATTTTCCAATAGCCTTGGGTTTTTTTAATATCCTGTAGGTGACTTTTATTTTTATTTTTTCACTCTTATAACTATCTTTATTACATGTGGGTTTTTTGGTTTTTGTTTTGTTTTTGGTGAGGAAGATCAACCCTGAGCTAACATCTGTTGCCAATCTTCCTCTTTTTGCTGAGGAACATTGGCTCTGAGCTAACATCTATGCCCATCTTCCTCTATTTTCCCTGTGGGGCCTTGCCACAGCATGGCTTAATGAGCAGTGTGTCAATCCGCGCCTGGGATTTGAACTTGCGAACACCGGGCCACTGAAGCAGAGAGTACAAGCTTGACCACTACGCCACTGCACCGGCCTCCTCTTTATAACATGTGTTTTTAATCACTTCTCTGCATGCATTACAGAATGCCTATCACATCCATTCCCATAAATAACAGTTCTCAATGAAGCAAGCAGATAGCATTCTTATAACCATCTTTTAAAATATATATATATAGGGCCAGCCCCGTGGCTTAGTGGTTAAGTGTACGCGCTCCGCTGCCGGCAGCCCGGGTTCGGATCCCGGGCGTGCACCGGTGCACCGCTTCTCTGGCCATGCTGAGGCCGTGTCCCACATACGGCAGCTGGAGGGATGTGCAACTATGACAGACAACTATCTACTGGGGCTGTGGGGACAAAAAGGGAGGAGGATTGGCAATAGATGTTGGCTCAGAGCCGGTCTTCCTCAGCAAAAAGAGGAGGATTAGCACAGATGTTGGCTCAGGGCTGATCTTCCTCACAAAAAAAATAAATAAATAAATATATATATATATTTTTTTTAGTGAGACATAAATTACAACATTGTGTAAGGTTAAGGTGTACAATGTGTTGATTTGATACGTTTATATTTTGCAATATGATTACCATTGTAGTCCTAGCTAACACCTCTATCACATAATAATTATTACCTAATTATCATTTCTTTTTTTGTGGTAAGAACAATTAACATCTAGTGTCTTAGAAACTTTGAAGTTTGTAATACAGTATTGTTGACTATAATCACTATGCTGTGCATTAAATCTTCCTAATAAGTTGTTTTTCATGCTAAATCTTTTCTCCTGTTTTTCTGTGTATTCACATAGTTTTAGATTTTCCCCATAATTTTTCCTTATTGAAATCATATTTCACTACTTGGAAAAGTTTATAGTTTCATTTCAAACTTAGGGATTTTATTTTTCATGGATTTTTAAAGATAATTCATTTTAATAATCTAAACACTCATTCCAGTAGTAACCACTGAGGTATCTATTGAAAATTCCCCATCTAGAAACACGGCCATTCATCCCTTCCTGCCTTTTGTTCCCACTCTCTTAGCAAATTCCACTTACATTGATAAAGCATTGCCCCCATCCTAAGGAATATTTTTTATAGTATTTAATATAGAATCACAATCCAAAGGATGGTGCCTTACCTTTACTGAACATCTACGTTGGGTCAATCGTTGTGCTAGAAATTTTATTTCTATTTTTAAATTTATATTAAATAAAAATATTTTCAATATTCTAAAATATATTATTTCATTTAATCCTCACAACCATTCTTTGAAGTAAATATCACATCCATTTTACAAATGGCACATTTGAGTCTCAGAAAGATTCAGAACTGGACGTTGGAGCCAAGGTCTTCCTGACTTCAAAGTCCATATTTAAGAGAAAGCATGATTAGGATTTGCATAGAAAACTATTACAGTCCCCTACTTCGAGGCAACATACTGTAATATGTAGTACAGTATAGTATGGACTTTGGAAATGGTCTTTTTGAATTCAGGTCTCCCATTTACTAGCTCTGTAAATTGGGCACATAGGATGAACTTTCTGAACCTGATTCCCCATCTGCAAGTTAAATGCAATAATATATCTAAAATTCCTGTCCCTTGTAGATGCTTTATAACCCCCTAAATGTACAGAGCCAGCTTTAAATCATTTATTTTCATTTAATTTTTCATTGTTCATGCAACGTTTCCTCAAATAATTCTAGATTAAATGTTTGCTTCTCCTGTGAAACATATTTCCGTTAGTCTATCAGTTTTCACTGTTTCAAGAGTGCAGTGACTCTACTTGTTATCCAGACTCCACCAGATTGCCCGACACGGATGCCCCTCTTTAATAGTAGTTATGCTGTTAAAATATCACCCTAGCATAGAATCCCTTCCAGAAAACAGGAAATATTTGACTAGCAATTCCACTCTCACCCTTATATTCCTTCAAGACTTTCGGGCGGATGCCATCTGGTCCTAACTTAGGCCTCTGCGTGCAGCTCTACTCTCCTTAAATCCGCCTTCCACATTGTTGGCACTTTACTTCCCTTGTTAAGAATTCTTCAGTTATCCTCTATCACGTACAAAATAAAATACAAATTCCTTAACGTGCCCTTTAGGATTCTCTTTCATCTCGCCTATCTTTCCAGTTTCATCTCTTGCCACGTCTTGCTTATTCTTCGTGTTCTACCAGCAACAAAGCAGTTTCCCCAGACACACACACACACACACACACACACACACACACACATACACACACACTGCTGCTTCTTGCTCCTTTTTTTTCTTTTTGCTCTGCTAGACTCTCCGCCTTCTCTGTCTTACTGACTTTTAATAGTTCTTTAAGACATAGTTCAAAGGTCCAGACTCCTAGAAGCTTTACCTAATTCTCCCCTCTCCTCAGTCCTCTTCTGTACACTTTGTACACACACCATCACTGTTCTTTCCACATCACACTATATTATCATCTGTTTGTGTGACTGTCTCTCTGAGTGAACTTTGAGTGCCCTCAGGGCAGATATATGGCGTATCCATTTTTGTATCCTTCCACCTTCCACCCCCTGGCAAATAGTGGGTATTCAAAAAATGTTGATGAATTAAATGATAAATTAAATCCTATCTAGTCACTGCAATATTTAGTGCCTTTGAGGACTTTCTTCACTATGTATGAAAATGAAATGTTTCATTGTCATCATCTGGGCTAATTTTACATCCTCTCCCTCATGGCTTCTCAGGTATATTATACTGATCACGTGGTAATAGAACTCTAAAACTATGTTTTAACATTTAAATAATGGAATCTTCACTTACAGAGATTCTACAAAATTTCTTTATTCAAAAATATTTTATTATACTTTATATTTTCTCTCTCATATAATGTTAGAATCTTCTTGACCCAGCCATCCTTATTATGGAATCTTTAATCTGTCAGTATTTTATTCCTTGTTATACCTGTTGGTGATTTGATTATTATAATATTAAATATTAAAGAAGAATTTTCTGAAAAAATGAATTGATCCTTGATGGAATTATAGTTATAATTGTATAAGTTAAATATTCTTAGGAAAAGTTGATCTATATATTTATTTTTTTTTAATTTTTATTTATTTATTTATTTATTTTTAATTTTTCATTTATTGCAGTGACATTGGTTTATAACATTGTATAAATTTCAGGTGTATATCATTATACTTCTATTTCTGCATAGATTACATCATGTTCACCACCCAAATACTAATTACAACCCATCACCACACACATGTGCTGAATTATCCC